TGCAAAACATATAGGAATCTTCCTGATTCCATTTCAGAGATTTAGTGACTCCTCTGAAGGGTCTAACCAAAAAACTGAGAAAGGACTCAGTAAGAGCTAGTTATAACTCATAATCAGGGAGTAGGAAAGGATAAAAATAAGCGATAAGATAAGTAAATTTGTGGACAGATAGTTGATGTGAAATAGTTGCCACAATACCTGTCACACAAAATAGAGTGATCTAGAGCCACTCTCCACAATTCCACCACTATCAAAACAGGAGAGGGGAAAAAAAAAAAAACAATTTAAATTCAGGCTAACAGCAAAATTAAATGAAAGCGTCGATGTGAATAAAAATTCCAAGACAAAGCTAAACTAAGAAACAATAAAACTAGTGCTTTATTGTTAATAATATTAATAATAAAAGTTGCCATGAAATCTATTGTCACTCTAGAAACTCCACCTATATCTGTAAAAAATGTGTGTGGAGAAAAGAATCTGACTCATCAGCCCAAAATCAATTCCTAAGAGGGTGAGCTCAGACAACCCTACATCCTCCAATCCTGGTGTGTGCCAGGGGTGTATGTTTTCACCATACTTCTTCAATCTGTATGCTGAGCAAATAATCTGGAAAACTGGATTTTGTGAAGATGAACGTGGCATCAGGATCAGAGGAAGACTGATTAACCATCTGCAATATGCAGATGATACAATCTTGCTTGCTGAAAATGAAAGGGATTTAAAATACTGACTGGTGAAGTTTAACAAACAGAGTCTTCTGTTTGGGTTAAACTTCAATGTAAAGAAAACAACAATCCTCACCACTGGACCAAAAAATAATATCATGATAGACGGGGGAGAAAGCAACAGTCAATAATTCAAATGATATATTGCATTAAGCAAATCTGATGCACAAGACCTCCAAATTTCATAAATGGTTGAGTAAGATGAAAGTCATGAACTACAGAAAATTATGCAGATTGTTGAAACAAAGGCAGAATGTAAAGTTGAAAGCTCAGTTCAGTACTTGCAGAGTAATTGCAAGATCATTGATTTGAAAGTATTCAAGAGTAAATATGTCAGTATGCCAGACCCAATCCATCCTATTTTCAATAGCCTCATAAACATATGAAAGTTGCACAATGAATAAGGAAGACGGTAGAAGAATTTATGTGTTTAAAGTATGGTGTTGAGTATGGTACCATGGAGTGCCAGAAGAACACACAAATCTGTTGAAAGATTGTTCTGTAAAAGCCAGAATGTTCCATAAAAGCCAGCATGGTGAGACTTTGTCTCTCATACTTTGGACATGTTTTCAGGAGAGACTAATCTCTGGAGGAGGACATCATGTTTGGTAAAGTGGAGGATCAGAGAAAAAGAGGCAGACTCTCAACAAGCTGGATTGGCCCAGTGGTACCAGCAATGGGCTCAAGTGTAGCTGATTCTGAGGATGCCTCAGGACCAGGTAGTGTTTTGCAATGTTATGCATAAGGTCGTTATGAGTTGGCATCAACTCAGTGGCACCTTGCAACAGCAACAACCAGAGAGATTATGTCTGAATGTTTAATCATTGAATTTTAGACGTTAAATGAGTCATGGGATTACGTGGAACATCCATGAAAATCATATGCAGACTCAGGAGAGGAACTAGAGAAGCCTGAGAAAACTCAGCATTATTATATGAGCGGTGGTGGCAGTTGCAGCGATGGTGTGCCTTGGAATCGATTCATAGCGACTCATAGCGACCCTGCATAGGGTTTCCAAGGCTGTAAATCTTTACGGGAGCAGAAAGCCTCATCTTTTTCCCATGTAATGGATGGTAGTTTCAAACTGCTGACCATGAGGTTAGCAGCCCGACTCATAAACACTACACTATCAAAGCTCCTTATTAAGATGAGTAAGGGAATAGATATATGTACAGAAGTAGAAAAGCACAAGAAATCCAAGAGTGAATATCATGCAAGCAACATGTAAAGAAAATAGTGAGAAGGAAGGAATGATTGGCAGTGTCAAATGAAACAAAAAGTTTAAAAAAACTGTTACATTTTATTTATCTTTTAGACATTACCAATAGCCTTTCTAAGAGTCATTTTAGTGAGTGGTATGTTCAGAAGCCATATAAATGATTGAATAAGATGAAAGTCAGGAACTACAGAAAATATGCAGATTGTTGAAGCAAAGGCAGAAAGTCAAGTTGGAAGCTGTGTTCAATACTTACAGAGTAATCGTAACATCATTGATTTGAAAACAAGCAAAATGAGTGTATGAGTCCAAAACAAAACTGTGAAATAATGAAACAATGAGGATTCTATTTTTCAGTTGTGTAAATCTTTTACAGAACAGTCCAATTATTAGTGAAATTGCTGTGTATCTATTCTCTCTGTGTTCTGTGCCACTGTGGCTAATCAGTGAAACTCTATTAAAGGCTTTAGCACTTGAGAAAGTCATGAAAGAGATCTAAAGGATGACTTATAAAGATAAGGAAAATATCCTTTGTTTACAGTCCTGGTGTGGCACTGTATAATAAGTGTTAGATCATAAGGTTGGTTTGAATGGAACTCTATACAGGGTTACTATGAGTCGGAATCAACTCAACGGCATTTAACAACAATTGTTGGTTTGTTAATTTGTAGGCTTTGTCATAGTAGTGTAACAGAGTTGTAACTTGCTAAAACATACGTTTAGAAACATCTTGTTGGTCATAAACACCACTATGTGTTAACGATTTATTCAGAAAAATAGTTTCAAGGAAATAAATGATACTGGATAAATTTCAGTGTGTAAGTAGGAAAACATTCTTCTAAATAAAGAGCACCCGAAGAGTCATGAGTAAGGAGCCCTATTAGTGTAGTGGGTTAGGGATTGGGCTGCTGACTCCCAGGGCTGCAATTCAAAATCACCAGTTGCTCCATGGAAGAAAGAAGAGGCTTTCTATTCCCGTAAAGATTAACAGCCTGGGAAACTCTATACTGGGTTGCTATGATTCAGAACTGATTTGGCGGCAAACAATCATCACCACCAATATTAGTAACTGGACTACTAACCACAAGGTCGGCAGTTAGAACCGACAAACCACTACTTAGAAATCCTATACGGGATTGCTATGAATCAGCACCATCTTGATGGCACTTAAAACAATACTCATGTTTTATTATTCCAGGTGCAACAATTATATGCTGTGAATAAATCCTTTTCAAAGTGTAAATCAAAAGAGAAGACTAAATTTATTTTTTAAATCATAGAGAATAAAATTCTGTTCAAGTTCAGATTATATTAAAAATTAAAAGCATCCTTTAAAAAAATTCAATTGCTTTTTCTACAAACCACCAGCCAAGTCACCTAGTGGGGCATAAATTCATCTAAAATACTTGTATTTTTTCAATGACAAATATAAAAATAGAAATCATAAGAAGGCAGTTATTTCTTTGTTGCAGACCACAATTACTGAGATGCTGAGGACCCGTGTTATGGACGAAAATCCAACACGATGGTGGCTCTCAGGCTTGCTAGTCAGGGACCCTGATGGCTCAAGGAAGTAACCTCCGGACGTCCCGGGTTCATTGGCTTTTACGAACTCACTGTTGGGCTAGCTCTGTGTAATTTCCTTTAGTCCTATTAATTCATTCTATGCTTCAAACTCCAGTAATTGTAGCTTCTGAGAAAATGGTTTCTTATGTGCCTCTCTTAATGTCTCCACTGAATTTGCAGTTCGTCAGGTTCTGGGAACAAATCTCTCTGAGGAACAAACTCTGGTCACTGGGCAAGTACATCCAAACTGTTCTTTATCAAATTATTCAGTTATGTTTGATATTAACTTAATACATGAGCCCTTGATACCCATGGACAAATATTAAAACAAAAAACTTCTTCTAAAGCGAGACTGTAAAAAGTTCCAAAGGCAAGTTTGCTGGGAAGCTCTGGAGACAGGCTTCCCAAGGAATTAACTCAGAGTAGATTGGCGTATTACGGGGGTTTTGTCCAAAGAATAATAGTTGTCAGCCATCTTAAATCGCCCCCGGGTGCAGACCATTGACCTAGGTGTCTTTCTTCCTCCTGCAAGCCTCAGCCAGGTAGCCGAAACAGCTGGACTCCTTTCAGACCTTTTGAATCCTTTTCTCACTGAAGATTAGGTGCTAAAAGTATGTTAATTAGGCTTGAGAAACTGAGTTCTGCCTTGGGATTCGAACCTGAAAAGTACTATAAAATTTTGCTTGAATTTCTGGAAAATTAAGGATGTTAGATTATCAAGACAATTGTGATGTATGTTTTAGAATTTGTGCCTATAAATCATTGTGTCCTGTTTTGAACGATTAATCACATTTCACTTCTGTACCCTGTCTTAATAAACCCCTCCTTCCTTTGTGTAAAGCTCCTCCCCAAAATAAAAAGGAGGCGCAGACCAAAGCCCACATGCGATGCGTTACAGCTTACAGGGCTTGCGTTACGGCTTGCAGAGCATGCATTACGGGCAGACATTGCAGTTAGCAAAGTGTGCATACTGCCTGCATCGCCATGATGTTTACAATGCAGGATCTGTCTGACGCTAGTGTTGCATCCACTCTGGTCTTGGGGTGTCTTCTTGTCTCTCTTGTTGTGTCTTTGTGTGTACTCTTTATCTGTCTCTGTCGCCGCCAGATCTCCCAACTTCGTGAACCAAACTCTCATGTCAAGACCGGTTCTCGACATTTCTTGAGGTTGGTGACTTTTGTGAATGTTTTGTTTTAGATATATGGCAGTATGTGATAGTACATGAATCATTATGTAAAATTTATACCTCAGCATATGTTTAGATCATAAATGTTTGAAGGCCAGATTTCAAACCAGTTGAATGACATATCAGAAGAGTAGAGAGAATGAATATTTTTTAAAAATTCATTATCAATTCCAGTGAATACATGCAAAACAACATTTTCTAGCTTTTCTTGCCAAAATACATGGGATAATATTATCCTTGCCCTCTTCTCAGATCTTGTGTCTCTCAGTTTTACAGGGCAGCCATGGACAGAAGTCAGGAGTCAGAGATGAGAAATCACACGACACTAACCACATTTATCCTCCTGGGACTGACAGAAGACCCACAGCTGCAGATTTTGATTTTTGTATTTCTACTTATTACCTATATGTTGAGTATAATTGGAAATCTGACTATCATCTTTCTCACATTAGTGGATTCTCACCTTAAAACTGCCATGTACTTTTTTCTCCGAAATTTCTCCTTCCTAGAAATCTCCTTCACCTCTGCCTGTATTCCAAGATTCCTATACAGTATAGCAACAGGTGACAGGAACATTACCTATAATGCTTGCATAAGCCAATTGTTTTTTACAGACCTGTTTGGAGTAACAGGATTTTTCCTCCTGGCTGTCATGTCTTATGATCGATATGTTGCCATCTGCAAACCTCTGCATTACATGACCATCATGAACCACGGGGCCTGCAAAAGATTTATCTTAGGGTGCTGGCTGACTACTTTGTTCATCATATTGCCACCTCTTAGTCTGGAACTGAACCTTGAATTCTGTGACTCTAATGTCATTGATCACTTTGTCTGTGATGCCAATCCTATCCTGAAGATCTCATGCTCAAATACATGGTTCATAGAGCAAATGGTTATTGTCTGTTCTGTAGTGACCTTTATCATGACTCTTGTGTGTGTAGTTTTGTCCTACATATATATCATCAAAACAATTCTAAGATTGCCCTCTGCTCAACAAAAGATAAAGGCATTTTCCACCTGTTCTTCCCACATTATTGTGGTTTCCATCACCTATGGCAGTTGCATCTTTGTCTATATCAAACCTTCTGCAAAAGATGAAATGGCCATAAATAAGGGGGTATCAATACTAACTATTTCTATTTCCCCCATGTTAAACCCATTTATTTATACCCTGAGGAACAAACAAGTCAAACAAGCCTTTAATGACTTAGTCAATAGAATTATATTACTCTCAAAGCATTAGTGGAATAGTGACATCAGGGTAAGTGAACGTATTTGCTTAAGTTTCCATCCTATTTTATCTTTTTCTGATCTTGATTTGGCCTTGCTTTCAGTACCAAATGTGATCAAGTTACTCCTTGTTTCTCCTTATAAACAAACTTCTTTGAGAACGATAACCTACAATAAAAAAAAAAACAAAACATGAGAATCATTGGTTCAGGAAATCTTAGCATGACGTCATCCTTAACTTGGATTTCACAACAACAACAACATGACACTCAGACCAGAAAATTCCCTCTCCCCAATCTGCTCAAATCCACCTCTGCACTGCATTCATTTTTCTCCATTTGTACAGATTGGATCTTCATCCAGATGCTGCTAATGGACCTGAGCCAGTGAAGCCAATTCTACTTTCAGGCTCTTGGATGTTTGCAGTTGGTTAAAAGTGTGAGTATCTCCTTCACAAGCTTGCCAATAGATGGAATGTTACGATTACAGCGTGTCTCAGACTGGATTCTACTATATATATAAATACTTGTTTGCAAGTAAACCCAAAAATTGTCACACAATCTGTTTCACTTATTTGTACTTAGGCACTTTGAAAAGTACCCAACAGGAAAGTCTTCCTTGAGCAGATGTGGCAGTACTCTAGTAGCAGGATTCAGTTCATCTTCTTGGCTTAGAATCCTCTGTTCAGGGGTGGGATATAAAAAGGAGAGGTCCTAGGCCAACAGGACTGCCCCTCAGGGCTGCTGAGTGCACCAGATCCTCAGAACCCTGCTCATTCAGAGGTGGAAGGAGCTGTGCAATATTTCCAGCCAGTTAATTTATTCTAGGCATTACTCATTAGACCAGTGAAATATTCTTTCTATCCTATAACATAAGGTTAGGGTCCGATGAGCAAATTCTCTGGTGAAGGTTTAAGAATGAGATCTGAAGATACTTATTGTGGCTTCAGGAAGCTCTGGTGACACTGTGGGCTACACTAACCTCAAGGTTGGTGATTTTGCCTTACCAGACGTCTGGTTCCAAGGGAAAAAGATGAGTCTGTTTGCTCCCATAAGGAGCAGTTCTGCTCTGTGTTATAAGGTCACTATGTGTCAGAATCCACTCTTTGGCATTGGATATGGTTTGGGTTTATTGTAGCTGTCTTTATGTCTGATGAAGATAGATTGAATGTTAAGTCAACTTCTTGGATGGCTCAAATGATTCAGCACCAGACAACTAACCAAAGTGTTGGTGGTTCAAACCCATTCAGAGGTACCCTGGAAGACAGTTTGGAGATCTATTTCCAAAAGGTCACAACCTTCTAAGCCCTATGGAGCAATTCTACTGTGTACACCATGGGTTGTCAAGAGTCACAATCAACTCTAAACAACTGGTTTGGGTTTTTTCCCCTTAGAGCTCTGGTAGCGTAGTGGTTACGAATCGGGCTGCGAACCTTAAGGTCAGCGGTTCGAAACTACCAGCCGCTCCGTGGGAGAAAGATGAGGCTTTCTACTCCCGTAAAGATTTACACCCTCAGAAACCCTGTACAGGGTCGCTATGGGTTGGAACCGACTCGACGGCACTTAACAACAACAACATGCATATATATATACACACTATATGTATATTTATGTACAAATTTATATATATATGGAGTCCTGGTGTGGCACTGTGGGTTAATGTGCTAGACTCCAAAGTTGGTTTGAACCACAAGATTAGCAGTTCAAGCTCACCAGCAGTTCAAATGACTTTGCAGTCTGACGCATTAGCCCACAGCACCACACCAGGACTCCTACTCACCACTTTCCTTGGCTTTAGCAAAATCCTGCATGTAATTGAAGTCCCAATTGAATGGCTATTCTTCAAAGAAACTACTGCAGGCTTTTCCCCTCCCCAGGTAATATTAGCATTCAATCAGACCCACCTATGACCAAAATTGCAATTCATTGTCTGAAATTGTTTTTTCTTGTTTGGCAGTCCT